GGGGCGGCTGAGGGGCTCGGCCGCGGCCCCGGGCGGTGCGGGGGCGGCTGAGGGGCTCGGCCGCGGCCCTGGCGCTGGGCAGGGCCGGGCCCGCTGCGCCCCAAGCGCGGCGCTCCCCGTGCCCGCTCCCGCCGCAGCCGCCATGGGACACCCCGCGCATGCGCCACACAGCTCCGCTGAGGGGCGGGGTACCTCCCCGACACCCGCGGCGGATCGTACCACTGCGCGCCGTGGGGGTGGGACAGAAAATAGTTTTCTCCAAGAATTTGTTTATGAAGAATTCCCACTGGCTTCTTCCCTGGCTTTTGTGTATAACTAAGGAAAACTTTCACGGAGGGGGCGGCGGGAATCCACGTCCGCTCGCGTGCGCCTTCTCCTCTTCCTTCTTTCCCTTTCCTCCCTCTGTCGGCGGCGAATTGGGCGCGTCCCGCTAGCTGCCCCTCCCGCTGCCGAGAGTCCGGCCCGCTCCCGCTGCTGGCGGTCCCGGCGTCGCGAGTTCCCGCTCTCCCGCCCCCTCCTTCCCACCCTCCGAGCCGGCTCCGCGCTCTCCTCGGCTTCCCGCTCCCTGCCCACGGCCCCGACGCGGCAGCCCTATGGCGTACAGTCAGGGCGGCGGCAAGAAGAAAGTCTGCTATTATTACGACGGTGAGCGGGGCCGGCGCGGGAGCGCGCGTGCAAGAGCGGGGGGGGCGCCCCTCTAATGGCCGCCCGGGGCGGGCTGTGTTCCTGGTCCCGCCGGCACGCCGCCCCCGTCCCGCGGGACGAGGCCCTCCCCACGCCCGGCCCGGCCCGGCTCGGCTCGGCTCGGCCCCATGGCGGGCGGGGGTCCTCGCTGGCTTCACCTGCGCCGCCGCGCCCCGCTCCCGCCGGCGGCTCTGCTGAGCCCCGCGGGGCGGCGGGGCCGGCGTGGTGGAGTCGGGCGAGGTGAGGGTCGGGGAGCTCCCTTATCCCCCAGCCCCGGTGGTAGGTGCTGTGGCCATTGTTTCGCCCCAAAATACTCACCACCCGCCCGCGCGTCGTGCCCCCCCGCCCGCCCAAAAAAAAAAAAGAGGAAAAAAAAAAAAAGAAGAAGAAAAGTTGAGACACTCCCCTCCATCCGCTGAGCAGGGAGGCGTTGAAGCTGCTGCTGTGTCTGGCTCCTCCCCTGCAAAGAAAGTCCAGGCCATGTGTAGCTCTGGCACCTGGTGATTGTTGAGCCGAGGCCTTTCCCTGCCTAGGGCTTTCATGCCGAGGTCTGGGGTACGGAGGGGCAGGGGCTCTCTGCCTCCTCCTCCCCCATTCCCAAGCCGAACGCGGATCAGAGCAGAGGTCTGGCTCCCACGAGCCTCCCTTCCCGCAAAACGCGGAAAGTTGTGTGCGTGGGTGGTTAATAATAGTGGAATTTGACTTGCATGTAGGCCCTCTGAGTTTGCCACACTGGTGTGGTGGGGACACAGGGGGCTTGCGATCGGCGTTGTCAGTCGTGGCAAAAAAAGTGCTTGGTTTGAGATATTTTCAGCAACTTGTTTGTGGTTTTCTCTGGCCGCAGCACCAAGAACTTCTAGTTTTCTTAAGCTTGAATTTATTTAGCCCTTTTTGTACTGGGAGGTGAGCTAGATGGGCAGATTAGTTAAGAGATTTGATTAAATTGCCTCCTATTGTAACAATCTTGTATGGCTGCATCTGAGACTGGTCTTGGAAATAGTCAGCAAACAGAGGTTGAGGATGTTCAGCCGGAGACCTTTGGTGTTTTCACCATTTTGGAAGTGAAGATGAGTGGCTAAACCCACTCAAGATATCAAAGGTTGTGTTGCTGTAGCAAACCTGCTGTTCTTTGGAAATGGCAGATCTTGTGGGGCCTGTCTTGGCTTTTTTTTTAACCACACTAAAGGAGGCAGAGTGGTGGTTGCCGCCCCCTTCTCTTTGTTGCTAGCAGTGGTTCTTTGTTCAGCCTAAAGGGGAAAGGAGGCCCCTGTTAGGGATACTTTTGTTGAGGCTAGGATCTTACTTTTCCTAGGGAAGAGGAATCACTT